GATGTGGCGCGCTCGCGTGCGTTGGATGTGTGTACGAAGTCAAGCAATTCAGCACAATCCAATGGCCTGTAGCTTTCTTCTCCGTTTGAACTCGATTGAGAGGGAAAATACCAGAGACGTCGTGGATGGTGGCTGGTATTGCGCCCGTCGTCTCTCCCCAAACCCTATCTCACTCATTTCTTCACCAAACTTAATACTTCTTGAACCAAAATCGTGTCCTTTTTCACGTAGATTGCAAATATGGTACTGAATCAAGCTATAACCCTCTAGAACTCCAAACCCGTGCCAAATCCAAGAAATCTCAAGAACACGAAAATTCCATGAAAATGCCCCAATTGATACCAGAATTCAAATACACTTCAAGGGGGTTGCAATGGTATAAAAATGAAGCCATAAAGATGCATAATTAGTGAGTTATCTTGAATTTACCTTACCTCTGAAAATGGTGATGGTGATGGTCCAAACAGCCACGGATCCTTCAAGAAAACAGCCCAGACTCACTCAAGGATGGTTGATGGAGGTGTTAGAATGCCTGAAATGGATTGAATTGGAGAGAAATGGAAAATTCGAATTTCACTTGGACCTTACTTTGATCAACTTGCAATAGCTCTATACTCCACCAAAATGCATCCACAAAAAAATGATAGATCTCATGTATAATACTTATAGAAAGTGTTTGTGACAAATTGGGGGCCCAATTGTGGCTTAATCATCAAATTGAATTTTTGGATTTTCAATTATAGAAGCCCATGGAAATGCTTCAATTCATGGCTGAATTTCCTTGTTTTTGGTTCAATAACATTCTTTGTGATATAAGGAAGATCAAGGGCTCACAAATGCTCCTTGTTTCCATCTCAATGGCTATGATCCATTATGTTGCTTAAACATGAAGAAAGCTTGAAATACCCCATGAAAAATGTCTCAACTGCAATTGATTTTATCACTAGTGTTCTTAAAATGTGCTTTCCATTCAAAATGAGCACAAATATGACCTTATTTGATTAAATTTTGGCAAGATCACAAACTTGGATTTTCACATCCTTTTCACAAAATCTCCTTCATCAATCTTCAACTACAAGCTAGCCCATTGATAACTTGAGATTTAGTTGACCAAATGACCCAATTTGGAGAAACTTTCACGTTGGAAAAAATTTCATTTGAGTTATGCAAAGTGGTGAACTTGACCTTTAATTTTATGACCTGTAATCAAAGTTTCCCAAAATACCCCTGCCTTACAAAGCTCATTACTTGAACTCTACAAATCATATGAATGACTTTTAGGACTTTTTAGAAAGCTAAGATCATGAGGAACAACTTTCATGTTTATCAAAAGGTCAGGTGAAACTTCTTTCTCATTCAAAAGTGTCATGCAAGTTGGTTGACTTTTGCAGACAAATTTCACATTCATCTGGTGACCTGTAACTTGTCTGGCCTATAACTTGAGTTTTATAAATCCAATAGAGGACTTCTAGTACTCAAATTAAAGGTATGAACATCCTCTACAACATTTATGTGGATTCCAAAGTCATGTGAGACTTGTATCTTAACTTGCATGGTCTTGAAGTTAGGCACTAAACAGGGGATTTTACACTGAGAACCCTGACTTAGCAACTTCTCACACTCTTGATTCTTCTTGATTGGGTTTTGGAAAAACATCTCGCATGCTTCAACATATCATTCCATGAACACCAAGACCAAGAAATAGGCTTTGATCCTCTTCAACTGCACAGTTGACCTATGGTTGACCAGATGAAACCCTAGTTGCAACACCTCCAACTGTGGCTCTTCACACTTAGCATAATGACTTGAATGAGTTCCACCATGACCCTCTAGGTACTCCATGAGCTCTATCCACATACTCTATCCATGATCAAGGCTTCACAACCCTCTGATGGTCTTCAATTGGCTCCCAAGTTAGGAGATGAACCCCATACAAGCATCCAAACTTCTCAAGAACTCAAACCACTTCCTGATGACTTTGGTGACTTCTCAAGCTTGAACAATACCCCTAGATAGGATTCTCTTGATATAAATCACACTTGATCCTCTGCTAAATGAACAATGTTATGTTATGCAAATGCTAGAACAATGCAATGCTAATGCAATGAAACATAAACCAGGTAAGAAAAAGGTTGGGCAAATTTTGGGGTGCAACACTCGCTCTCTCACCGATGAGCATCAACTTGGGGGGATCCTGTTCTGGCCTGGGCCCCGGCTTCCCCAAGCAGGCTCAACCCATCGTTGTGTGGCCCAATCTGACTTGGGATGCGGTCGTCGAGTACGAAGTGTCCGTCGGGCATAACCTTCTGTCAGGTCGGGCACAACGGCATGTCCTTCACGATATTCACGTGGCCCCCTCCGCGGGGACACGTCGTCAACCACCTGCCCTTGGCGGGCAGGACATACTTCTGTCGGGCAGAACAAACGTGTCTCTCACACGTTCTCCACGTGCTCCCCTCTGCGGGGACACGTCACTAACCAACTGTCCATCTCCGAAAGAACAGGTCAAACCCACTCTCCAGAGATCACGGAACAGTTAGACTAGGGCAAAGACCACGTTCTAGTCTTCACTACGCCACGTAAGCCCTAGAAGTCGTTTGGATTGGGTCTGGCCATCCAGCCCAACTCAAATGACCGTTGGTCCAGCGCTGGGGTCTCTATATATATACCATCTTTCGCAAGAGGGTCAGGTATTCAAGTCTTACCTTACTTTCTGTACTTGTTATTACTCTGTCTAACTTCTTACTTTGGCATCGGAGTACCTTACAGGTACACCCCCCTCATTTCTCTTCAACACCGTGGTGAACAACGTCAGATTTTCTACGCGTGGCCGACTGTGATTCATTCTGATCAGGTACGATCACTTAATATGTGTGATAACTTCATATAGTGCAGTAATCACCACTCACTTATATTTACATTACATATAATACACCTATGTACCTATGTTTAGTTAAGTGAAATTACTTTTCCCTACACCTCTTATTCCAAATATCTTTCTAAAATTACTCTTGTTTGGATTCCACAACTCAACATCTATCCTCATTTTTATTTTTTTTAAGAAGAATTTTTTTACTCTTTTGATATTTAATACTCCTTCTCGTCTTTTTTTATAAGAATCACTTTACCTTTTTAGATTCATTGAATAATTAATGTACTTAATCTGTATTATAGACCAAATACATTAATTATTTAATGAACCTAGAAATGTAAAAATTCTCTTATAAAAAGGACCGGAGAGAGTATTATTCAAAGGTATAATTAGTATCAAAGTATCTTGATTTAATTTATTATTTCGGTTAGGTCCCTTAATTAAAAAAGATTACATATTGGTTCTCTAAGAGTTGTTTCATTAAACAAAAAGATCATTACCGTTAAAAAAATTTAAAAAACATAAACTTGACTACGTGGCGTGACAGATAGGTAACCTTGTAAACAATATTTGTGAAAAGAGAGAACAAGGATGTGGTGTCTAGGTTCCAATGAATCATATTAATATAAATATATATTTAACTTTCTTTTTTTTTTGTAAAAATTTAAAAGAGATCAACAAGACTAACAAAATAGTTTTAAGGAACTATAATATAATATTTTTTTTTAATTAGGGGATCAAAGTGAAACAATAAATTAAGTTAAAAGACCAAAAGATAAATTAAACTTTATTCAAATTATAAAATATAAATATATATAAAAATCTCTAAAATCCTAAAGCCAATAATAAACCTAAAACCTTAGTCTTCAGTAAAGAAGACGATGATGAACTTTTCTTCTCCTTCCTTCTCGTTGTCCAAATCAAAAAACAATGCGACATTTTTTAGGCAATATTTGTGCAAAGAGAGAAAAAAGATGTGGTGTTGTGGTGAGTAGGATTCCGATGAATCATGTTAATATTAAATATTTATATTCATTGTTTTTTGATTGTGAGTATATATGGTGAGTAGGATTCCAATGAATCATGTTAATATTAAATATTTATATTTATAATATAAAAAATTTATTAAAAAAATGTTATATTATAAAGTGAATGATCAACTTACTCTAAGAGTATATATGAGAGGAGATCAACTTAGGAGTAAGTTTTTTTAACTTATTTTCAATCATAACCTTTAAATTGAAATCATAACCTTTAAATTGAAATCATAACCTTTTAAATTATATCTAATTTAATACTTAAATTAATATTTTTACATTAAACCTAATTTAAAAAACTATAATTGTGATATATATATATATATATATATATATATATATATATATATATATATATATATATATATATATATATATATATATATATATATATAAGTGAAAAATAGAATATTTCTAATTTCTTGGTGGTAGAAATGTAAAGTTAGTTGGTGGCAGATAGTAAATAATTGGGTAGTAATCTTCAGGAACTATGATATATATATATATATATATATATATATATATATATATATATATATATATATATATATATATATATATATATATATATATATATATATATATATATATATATATATATATATATATATATATATATATATATATAAGTGAAAAATAGAATATTTCTAATTTCTTGGTGGTAGAAATGTAAAGTTAGTTGGTGGCAGATAGTAAATAATTGGGTAGTAATCTTCAGGAACTATGATATTGAATCGGGTATAACTAAAACTATTGCTTTAGCATTCAATACTCATTAGTGACATGCAACTTTCAGACAAAACAAAGCAGCACAAAGAGTATATAGGGATGTTAACAACAAATCAGACAAAGCAAAGCAGCAGAGTATATAGGGATGTTAACAACAAATCATACTTAAAAGTAAAAGGAGGAAGGCACAAAAAGAGTATATAGGGATGTTAACAACAAATCATACTTAAAAGTAAAAGGAGTAACAAATCATACTTAAAAGTAAAAGGAGGAAGGCACAAAAAGAGTATATAGGGATGTTAACAACAAATCATACTTAAAAGTAAGGAGGAACAGTGTTCTGGTTTGTGAAACTACTCAAATTAAACTCCCGGAATAGGATATTTCGTGGCAAGAGCACTAACTTTCCTCCGCAAATCTGAAATCTTATCTTTAAAAGGAAATTCATGAGATATCACAAAGTTCAAAAAATCTTGAACCTTGGTTCCCGAGGCCAAACTTTTGGCTTGAAGACTTATTTGCACACCCTCGTGAATTAAGTCAGCAATGAGTTCAAATTCCTTCTCACCAAGTCCTCTTGTTGTCATTGCGGGTGACCCAATGCGAATGCCTCCCGGGACTAGGGCACTTCTGTCACCTTTTGTATCCACCACATGTCAGTAATAAGCAATAAAAAAACAAGAAAAAATATTCCTTAGAAATCTATGGCAGGGGAATCCAAAAATTCATATAAAGATGAAAACCCTATGGCAGAACAAACACATTCATGCATGTTTCGGATTCGGAAACATGATTCCTATGAACGAAAAGGGTCTCTACATAAAAGTCGTGTCAAAAAGCAGCATGTGACTTACCAGCTACTGAATTCTTGTTGAGGGTTATAAAGGCCATGTCAAGAATTTTCTCCACCCGAGCACCATCAATACCCTAAAGGATATGTTGATTAATATGAAATACAGTCGGGGTACTAAAAGGAATATACATCAATAAGAAAAATCACATGATGACAATAGTTTACATAGCATTGCAATTTTATGAGAAAATTTCACACTTATGTTATTTTTACAACAGATCGAGGAGAAACAAAAGAGGGAAATATGGTTATATTGATACTAGAAAGTAGGAGAAGCTTACCGATGGCCTCAGATCAACAAGAACCAGGTGATTATCACTACCACCAGAAACAAGTTTATATCCATGCTCAACTAATCGGTTAGCAAGAGCTCTGCAGTTGGCAACCACCTGGAGGATGGTAGGTTTAGGAGTGTTATTGTTAGGATAAGAAGTGCTTTATGTCAAACTCTACCCAACAATGAAAAGGGACATTATATATACCTGGTTTTGGTAATTTTTAAAATCTTGTGACTGAGCATATTTCAAGCAAACGGCTAGTCCTCCAATTGTGTGGTTATGTGGACCACCCTGAATAATTCTAAACTATGTTAAAATCACAAAATAGTATGGTAAAGAAGCAAATGCATCAGACTCCACAGGTGCATAAGGATTCATGTAATATCTCAATTAGAATAGTTTTACACAGAACAAATTAGAGGACATTCCAACCTGTAGACCGGGAAAAACAGCATTGTTGATGGCTGTCTCAAGATCAACGTCATGCACAGGATCTTTCTTGAAGAAAATCATACCCCCTCTAGGACCTCTCAAAGACTGGAGAAAGTCATTAATGTTGTAAGTATTATTAAAATGGAAAGTACTCAACTCACAGCTTCGCTTAAATAGAATTATGTTTTCACGTGAAAAAATACACTCTTCCATTTTGAGTGCATAAACACAAAGCGGACACAAATATCTTGAAGCAAACCTTGTGGGTTGTGGTGGTCACAATATCACAAAACTCAAAGGGGTCGGCAAGCACAGATGCAGCAACGAGTCCACTTATGTGTGCCATATCCATCATAAGGAAGGCACCTACGCTATCTGCAATCTTTCCATGCATATAAATATGTAATTAGCTATTGGCGAGAAAAAAATCACAAGATGTAGAGAAGATAATTGGATTATAATTCCATAAATTGCTCAAGTAAAGAACATACTTTTCTAAAGCGGGGATAATCAATGTCTCGGGGGTAAGCACTAGCACCAGCAATAATGAGCTTCGGTCGGAAGATACTAGCAGTTTTCTCCAGCATATCATAATCAATAAGACCTGTTGTCATTCCACAGTTGTCATTCCAAAAATCATCTCAAGTAATTCCACAAATAAGTCAATATATCTGAAGCGATTTTAATGAAAAAATATAAGCACCTGTTGATTCATCAAGTCGATAAGCCATAGATTCAAAATAAACTGATGTGGCTGATACACGTCTTTTAGGTGTCATGAATCCATGAGATAAATGTCCACCATGAGACAAATCCAAACCCTGACAACATATCATTACATATTACAAAAATAACATAATGAAAAGGAATTTGAAAAAGCGAGACTAAAGCGAGCGAAAAAAAGCTAACCATTATTCGATCATGTGGTTTAAGAATTGCAGTGTATACTGCAAAATTAGCCGGGGAACCAGATAATGGTTGAACATTTACACCCCACTTGTTACCATCTAAATGAAACGCAGCAAGTGCCCTTTCTTGACACAGGATTTCAAGCTCATCAATATGCTCATTGCCACCATAATACCTTACATATAAACGGAATTCAATCAACAAAATTTACCTTTTACCAGGCAAACCTTCTGAGTAAAGGTAGATAGAATTTATTTACCTTTTACCCGGCAAACCTTCTGAGTACTTGTTTGTGAGGCATGAACCAACTGCTTCCATCACTGCTCTAGATGTAAAATTTTCAGAAGCAATAAGTTCAAGACTGTTAAATTGACGGTCTTTTTCGTTGCCAATTATCCTATGAACCTCAGGATCAGCTTCACTCAAACCATAGTCTAGGAAACTAGACCCATCACCTGATACCATGACCAAAAAAGATATCTTTAAATTTCAGCATACAGAAGAATGATAGCAAAAATTTATCCAAACAAGATTAAAACACATTAATACACAACATGTATAATTATTGAATGAAATGGAAAATTAGAGTTACCTCCAATTTGAGGGGCAGTGACTAAAGCTCCTCCAACATGAGAAACTTTGCAAGGTTTGAAAGTACTGTTGAGTTTAAGCTGAGGTAAAAAGCCATGGTTCTGGAGCTTAGACCAGAGAGGTTGTTGCAGAGAACCCATGAGTGCAGCTCCGGTACACGCCGCAGGCATTTTGGGAATTTGGGAATTAGGGTTTTGTTATGTGATGGGAATTAGGGTTTTGTTATGTGATGGGAATTAGGGTTTTGTTATGTGATGGGAATTAGGGTTTTGTTATGTGACTGTGTGGGTTTGGTCTAGGAAGAGGACAATGAGGAAAAGAACAGGGAAAGAGATGAGTTGGAAGGACGGCTAGATGTATAAATAGGGAGCAGGGGAGAACCGGTTGCCGTTTTGAAAAGCCCGACCCGTTTGGTAAAAAAACCAAACCAGCTCATGTATCTTCAAAAATGGTTAACCGGTGTATTGTTTTACTAAATGGTTGGTGATTAAAGGATAAATACTGTTTTTATTTGGTGCTAATTAGAATACACCTGTTTTTACCGTAATTTTTCGCTAAAATGGTTTTGGTTTTGTTTTAATAGTTTTTTCTTCTTTATCTTTCATAAAATTCTGAACGTTTAAACCCAATTCATAAATAAATAAATAAACAAACAAACAGGTCTCGGTAATCTGACTTTTTTTAAAAAAATATGTGTATTTAATACTTTCAAAACAAAAATAATTAAACTTTTAAAAAATATTGTGTGTATTCAATGTAGTGAGTCTATAACATTTTTTTTATTTAAAATTTTTTATTAGTGTTTTGGACACCGGTTAGTATGACTCTATATTTAAATAATATATATTTAAAACAATGTTTTAAAAACTAGATTGAAGAACAAATTGGTGAAACATTCAATTTAAATTTCAATTGGTTCAATCGGTTAAACCTACCATAATAATATGAAACTAAATTTTATAATATATCTCACACAATCATATCTTTATAACTTAATAAACTAAATGTTTTAAAATTCATTACAAACTTAGTACAACAATATCAATTAGTAGTATATATAATAATATAATATAATTGTTCACTTAATTTGAACTTTCTTTTAAAAATAATTTAAATAACGGATCTAAATTATGGCCAACATCTAAAGAGTTGTCAATGAAGAAAATTATAAGAGAACAAATAACATATGCAATTTGTGATAATTCTGAACACAATAAGATAATTTATATGAGAAAGACAAAATGATATCAAAGGGGGAAACAAAATTGTTAATTTGTTTTGTTTGTTCTATTATATCTTCTATGTTATTATGTAACTTAAAAAGCAAATTTGCTTGTTAATTAGCCACCAAAGTTTTCTTTCTTAGCAAATCAAGGCATGGAAAAAGACAAATCGCATTATTTTCCCTTTCAAACGGATTAACCTCACAAATAAAAGTTTGGTCACCTAGAACAGAATCAGATTCATTTCTTATTTGCCAAACTTATGCAACAATTACATACCAACAAAAATAGCATCCAACCCTTTCCATTACTTTTTGCCAAAAGGATATATTCTTTCAATAGCATAGAAAAACGAATTTATAATGCTTAGTGTTTCCATTGTTCTACAAGATATTTATACTGTCATAATAACTCATTACATAACAGCATTGGTATTGATCATCTAGATCAACAAGTATCTAATCACAGGGTCAAATTATTTCATTTTGCATTTATATTTTTCAGCTAACCAACTGTATTGTTTTCGGCTTGAGAAGTAGTTATCCAGTGGAATTTCACTCGACATGTGAAAGACCCCCACCGCTTTCAGCACGTGTCCTATAGAATAATTTGTTAAGGATTAGGAAAGAAAAATGCATATGATGGTAAAGTGATGATTTCAAGAGTTCAATACTTACTTGTGATCAGAAGGATTTGGCATAAGCTCGTAAACAATAGTGGCCACGACATCCCTCTTTAGCTATACAATAAACAATATAGTTAATACTTTGCAGTAAACTACTCAACCAACAGCCCTGAATTTTACGGTAAAAAGAATACCTGAGTAGCTTCGCCTTTAAGACCAATATAGTGTATTTTGGTAGTGTCACCTCCAAAATTATCAGGAAAGTGCAATGTAATATTTCCCACACTTTGAAATTTTGAATACCTAATCGAAAGAATAGATGCATTAAAAAACCATGTAGCAGAGACACAAGAAAAGTCCAATGATATAAAGCACCAACACTGTAAATTAATTTTACACTGTCCACCAGTAACGACCATGTATCTCGCCAAGTCAGATTGAAATTTTTAAATTACTTGAATGACATGGCAAAGTAATATATTTCTATTGGATGAAAGTGTAAAACTTTTTTACAATGTCAGTACATCTCCATTAAACTCAAACGATAATGATTACCTTGTCTGGTATTCCAGTACTCCTTGCATATTCTCAGCTAAATCCCATTCCTTTATAAATAAAAATCAGTATAATACAAGCTGTGGTTTCAATTTGTCAACTAATTCATTGAAAATTTTGAAGGAAAATATACCTGAATGGCTTGCATGCTTTGTGCATCAGAAAAGTCAATGCCATCTCGATTGATAAACCTAAATCAAGTTGAATTTCTCAGTCTTTGATGTGTAGAATACTTGATATAAATATAAATTATTGTAATTGAATATTCAAGTATTGCATGATTGCATCTACTGACTAGATAGAAGACACTGAGAAAATAGATGAAATAAGCCTAGTTGGTCCAAGCACTAAATCATTGCCTTTATGCAAAAGCCAGTATTAGAAAAATGGTTGAAAAACATTCATTGCTAGTTTAATCTTTCATCTTATGGCATGCCCTTCTGAGGTTAAATCCCCGGTACAATTATAAAGGAACAGAAAAACAAAGGTGTACTTGTAAACTAAATGCACAAGGAAATTCATTTTGCAGATGCGTCTCTTAAGATACTTATATTAATCACCTCGATATCCAACCAAAAATATAAGAACACAATCAAACACTGCTCTCTAAGAAAACATAGAGTTCACAATTTCGAGCTAATCATCAATGATAAATGTCATAGAAGGGATATTCACAATCGTAAACTAATAAAGCAACGACAACCATTTAAAACTATGTTGATGTCAAGCCAAGCATTAAATTAAAGAAGCGTGTACTTCCATCTGAACTTAAAACAGAAAATTTTCAGGAATTAGTACAAAAAGTTGCTTGTGAATGAGTCCACCAAATACAATAAAGTTGCTTCAAAACCATAACAACTTACGCTCTCATCTTGGAAGGACTTGTTCCTTCAGCTCCACCAACAATGGATATGCTCTTAAGCTTGACATCTGAAGTAAATCTATTTCACAAAGCAGCATAACAAGATTTCACAATTTCATCATACAAAATAGGTAGCAAAATTGATGTAAATATACAACAATACAAGTAACTTACGGAATGAATACAAGTAACTCAGGATCACCCTCATTGCTTTCCAAGTGTTCCTGATGAATTGAAGCCACAACAACAACAACAACAACAACAACAACAAACAAAACTTAAATATTCACATTAATCATATCTAGCAACAAAGGTAACATGAAAAAATAATTTTAAAAAATGAAAAGAATGATTATTACCCCAGAAGTGTTCAAACGGTTTTCCCAAGCTTTGAAGACTGATTTAACACTGCCGGGAGTTGCCTCATTCAAAGCAGATGCCTGAAAGAGAATTTGGAATTGTGATTTTGTTGATAGAAATTGAAGAAAATAGAGAAAAGGAAAGAGAGATTGTACCTTGGTGAGGTCGATGTGTTTGTAGAGAGACCAATCAGATGAACAATCATGATCTTCACAACTGTGGTCATGCAAGCACGCCATTTTCGATTACCTCCCAACTCAACACCAAGCGCACAGAGCAAGCGATATTGTTGATTCTTTGCTCTTCGATTTGGGCTATCCCATTTATTTTGGGTTTTACCCTACAAAATATTTATATATAAAAAATAAAAAAAAAACCTCAAATTTACTTTAGAGTTTTTTAACCTTTATTTAGGAATAAAATCATCTCTCCCACCCTTATTAGTGAAGAGTGATAGTTAGAAACCTTAAAATACTCTTAAAATATTTCCGAAGTTATTACATCCTTTTCAAATGAACTGATGTGTTGTTTTAAATAAAAAATTGTTTCAAAATAAATGTTATTTTCAATTTTTAATGTTAAAATAATTGTTACTTTTTTAATTGTGTCATCTCATTATTATTTTATACGGTACTTTCAACATATTAATAAGACTAATTTAACAAAAGTGCAATGTTTTATGAAAATATTATTGTATTTCTTAAATCGTGTGCAAAAATCTTAAGCGACAATCACTTTAAAATAAAGGGAGTAACTTTTAAATGTTCTCATCCATACCAAAATAGTTCTTAAGTGACTCACTCTTATTTTATAAAAAAAATTTATATGGAAGTTAACCTCCATATTGATGGAATGGTGAGTCTGCTGATTAAGTTTCAAACTAATTTCTGACCACATTTAAATGATAGTGTGTTTATTTTACCTTAATGGATAATACGAATGTTAAATTTCAAAATTATTAAGTGGGAAAATGAATATACCATCACTTTGCATGTAATCTTCATTTCATGATCATACCACCATACTTACAAAACCCTACAAACATCTTCTTCCATTCTCAATCAAGTTGTGTACTTGAAAATCATGTTCTTCTGTTTTTTCACATTAAAAGGAGTAAATGAAACAAAAATTTAAGGTAATGTACATGCATTTTCTTCTTCATTGCTCGTAAGAGTTTGGTTTAGCTGTTTAAAAATGAATGTTGCGTTCAGATGTTAACTTTCGTATTGTGTTGCGTGTTGTTCCATAACTTTAATTCTGGATTGTTTTCATGTAGAATTTATATTTTATTTTGTTTATATTGGTTGCAAAAATGATGCACACTGACGTTGTACCCAAAGTTATCGTGTCTATGGATGTTAAACTAGTTAATGTCGAGGTAGATGTTGGTAAATAATTTACAAGTAAATAGGAGTTTGTTGTTCGTAAACATATGCTCCAACAAATCTACACGGAGGTTGCAAAATTGGTGTTCAACATATCGGGAGGTCAAATTCTAGTTCTGATAGAAGATTGATATTTGTGACAATGAGATGTGAAAGAAGTGGTAAGTACATAAAACATATCCGGAAGTTGAAACAGAATGACACCGATTCGAGAAAATGTGAGTGTCCTTTTAAGCTGCACGATACCTTAATGAAAATAATACATGGATATTTAATGTGATTTGTAGTATACATAATCATGATTTGTGTTACAATTTAGTCGTTCATCCCATTGTATGTCGCTTTAAGAGAATGATCTCGTTTCTAACATGACATTGAACATGGTGCAACCCAAAACATACTTGCAACTTTGAAACGAAAAAAGACCTCATAGTGTCTCAAATATTAAGCAAGTATACAATATTTGTGCTTAAAACAACAAGGCGTTAAGAGGTTCAAGAATTGAAATGCAACGACTATTGAAGCTCTTGGATGATGATCATTATGTATCTAGGTATATAATGCGCGAGGATGAAGAAACCGTTCGATATAAATTTTGGACTCATCCTAATTCCTTTAAGTTGTTCAACATATTCCCCATTGTGCTAATAATTGATTTAACATATAAGACCAATAAGGGCAGGTTTCCACTTCTGAAAATTGTTGGTGTTACTTCTACGATGACTTTTTCGGTTGTGTTTTCATTTTTGAAAAGTGAAAAAGAGGACAATGTTACTTGAACTTTAGAAGTGTGTCAGACTATGTTGAAGGACCAAGAAAACATACCACAAGTAATTGTCTTTTATCATGATACAAAACAAATCAATTCTGTTGGAAAGGTATTTCATATATCATATGCATTACTTTGTAGGTATCACATAACAAAAAATGTGAGAAGTAGACTTAAGCATGTGATATGGACCAAACAAATCAAGGGTAAGATGAGAAAATGGTTAAAGCTTGTGTGATATTGGAAAGCAAAATTGATGCTTGGAATGTTATAATAAAATTTTATATGGTAAAGTTATATGTTGAATCTATAGTACATTCCAGGGGGTGTGTAAACAATATTCAAAATTCTCAAAATATCTTGAAAGTACAATTCTAGAACAGGTGAAGGAGAAGATTATTTGTGCTTGGACCGATCAGGTTAGACACTTTGGAAATACAACAATTAACAAAGTTGAATCTGCTCGTGTTACATTTAAGATTTGGTTGGGAAATAGTAAAGGTGATTTATGAAGAGGTTGGGACTCCGCGAACCAAATGATCCAAAATCAACATAACAAGATACAAACATCATTTAGTCACAACATTACAGTATTATAACACATATTCAAAGACAACAATCTTTATTCACAGTTGTTGGGAAATATATCTCTAGCAAGATTGAATTTTATTTATCATGAAGCCAAGAAAGTAAATAAAATAGGTTCAGATAACTCAAAGTGTAGTTGTACACTTATAAAGACGTACGGTCTTCCATGTGCTTGTTTAACTTCAAAGAAGATAAAATTTGATAGACCCATACGAATGGATGATATTTACACGCGCTGAAAAAGGCTATAGTTTTATGATGATGATGTGATGAAGGATTGTGTAAATTGAATATATCATGACCAGATGAGAAGTGATTCAAGAGAGATTTTTAAAAGTCGGTGACATCATGAAACTGCACATCAAAGAGCAGATGATGAAGATTGTCTATCCAGAAATCACATATTTGAAAACATCTTTAGAACAACTAAAAATAAGGGATGATCTTAAAAAGGTCATCCTAACACAAAGTGACAATTCAGCGAAGCAATATCCTTCCTATTTTGAACATGTTGACACACATTTTTTGGATTCTCCAATTTCAAAGTCTCAAAAAGGTGTTTCCAAAGGTGCTTACATTAGCAAACCATATTCTTCACCACCTTTACCAAAAATCAAACACATTAAGAGATGTCAGTTTTTAGGCACAAATACATTAAACTAATTGTAGATGTTAAAGGTGATGATAATTGCATTTATCATACTGTTTCAGCTTTTTTCAGTAGAGGAGATGAGAATCATATGTAAGTTCAGAGTATGCCTAAGAGGGGGGGGGGGGGGGTGAATTAGGCTTTAGAAATTTTTTCCGGTTTTTCAAACCTCTTGAATTTTTCTTCTTTAAGTTCTTGGTGATGAAAGCAATAAAGGCAGAAATAAAAATGAACACGGAGATTTATAGTGGTTCCCTTCACAATCCGAAGGTACTTCACTCCCCTTTCCACATGAAAGAGAGTTTTCACTATAGTTTTAGAAAGTACAACCTATCACACCATCAACCGGTGAGGTCTACAATCTAACAACTAATCAACAACTAGTGTGCAAGAACAATCCTCTTGCAAACACTACCCCTTGTGTCCAACAATCCTAGATCACAAGTCACAATAGAAATAACTTTGTATTTTTGTAATTTGAAAGTGATACAATGATAATATCAATCTAATGATTGATCTTCTCCTTTTGATCAAAATTCATTCTTCAATATCAATACAAGTGTTCAAAAACTGGATATGAAATTGTATGAACAATATGAACACTTTTTGAAATATTTGAAAATATTTGAAAAGTAGTGAATTTGATTCAATGAATATTTTGAAAATTATTGGAGGTTGTTTTTCAATTTGAAATGTTCAGAATTTATATGAGCAAAAAACCATTTCAAAAGGGTATAATTGATTATGATTCAAAACATGAAAAGGTATAACATTCAAACACAATTTGAATTTTAACAGAAACAATTTTTCAAAATTCGTTCAGTGTTAATCGGTTAACCATATAGGTTAATCGGTTAACACTTGAACATTGGCCCAGAGAATTCAAAAATTAAGGTCGTTAATCGATTAACACTTTAAAACTCAGAAAAATGCTTGAGTTAAAAAGTGTTATACCAATTCAAATGATTTTAAAAAAATATGCAAATGCAATATGTTATCATGTTAAAATATTTGAACACTTGTATATCAATTAAAGGAGTAAAAATTGATATACCGAAATTTGAGTCCAAATATTGAAAGATGTAGAATCATTTGCACACGATGCTTCTGGTTTTATCTTCAGTGTATATACCCCCACGGGTATATAGTGCAAACAGCTTCCCAGTGCATATACCCCCACGGGTATATAGTGTAAAAATCTTGATCTTTTTGAAAGCTTTGACTTTTTGCCTGCAATCAAGGAATGAGCTTGAGTCTTCTTTGTTGACATCATCAAAACCTTGAGATTGAAGTGTGCTTCTACATCATACAATAGTTTTCTAGCAACTTCTCAAAAAGTTTAAGGCGTATAAGGAATCATACACAACATTATACGGGAAAAAAATAACATTTTGACATAATTCATGAATCTCTCAATCCTTGTGTTAGTTGTCTGACACTGGAGGAAAAATCAATGTGCTTCTCTGAAATGGATCATCTTATAGCAATTGCGTATAATAGGGTGTGTATTAATTTGACAAGATATGGCTTCTCGAAAACATTTTTCCACTTGGGGGTGACCCACCTCAAAATCGAACTGAACATATTATGTGTATTGGGTGGCTTTCAAGATCACTATATTTTGTTCAAGTTTATTTGAAACTGGGATGTCATATACCACATACATCACTGGAGTGGGTATTTCCTATATCATATGCATTACTTTGTAGGTATCACATAACAAAAAATGTGAGAAGTAGACTTAAGCATGCGATATGGACCAAACAAATCAAGGGTGAAGATGAGAAAATGGTTAAAGCTTATGTGATATTGGAAAGCAAAATTGATGCTTGGAATGTTATAATAAAA